ATATTTAATATCATGTTAAGATTTAACATAATATATATAACAATTAAATTGTTAAAAAAATAAAATTATTCAACAAAATTATATAAAAAATAATAATATAATTTAGATTGTATTAGATTATACTATATTAATTATTACATGATGTGATATCATTGGTATTGAAGTTTCTTTTATTCAAAATTTTTATTATATAATTTAATATAGTATAAATTGTAAAATAAAAAATTCTTTAGTAATTATATATATAATTTATTAATTTTTTATATAAAATTAATATTTAAAATTAAAAATTAAAACTAACCATTAAAATTGAATACGATGACTAAGACCATACGAGTAAGAAATTCAATTTATTACCAAAAAATGAAAGAAGAAAATCAGAATTACTACTAAATTTTAATTACTTGATTAAGAAAACAAATCTAACGGAAAAGAAAAAAAAGTTACTAAAAAAAGAGGCGAAAAATTAACGGCAGAAATTTTTTTAATACCGCCAAACAGCCACCAGAACCGGCAGCTGTCGGTTCCCCAAGATTCAGCAGCCTGTCGGTTGCCTCCTCAGCCGGTAACCCACCGCCGCGTGCACATTACTCGTCCCTCTTCGTCACCCGATTCTATCTTATACACACTCATTCGTTCCAAAGCCTGTAAGTTCTCCGAAGAAGAAAGACAAAGCCAAACTCTACAGCCCCTCGCCGCAACTTTACCATTCTAATTTTTCCGATCAATTCTCTCCGGTAAATCTTGAGAAAAATCGAAGATCTTCCTTAGACTTAATGCTGCCAATCTCAGGCTCCCCGGACCCGTCCAAGAAACTGAAATCCCCAGAACAGAAGTTGATTGACCGTAAGAGCGCAACCAACTCTCTCCCCTCAGTTATTCAGTCTTATCTCTCTCCGTATAACCCCAGATCATGGCTCCTGTACTCCATCTTCTTCCTCCAGATCGTTCTCCTCCTCATGGCGCGCTCACTCCAACAGTCGCACCTCCGCACTCACTTTCCTTCTCCTCAACCCAACAATCCCATGTTCGTAAAATCAGCTAGTATTTCATACCCAGAACGTTCAGCTAATTTTTCATCCTCCGAACCGGACCAATGCCCTTCCGGCCGTATCTTTGTCTACGACATGCCGCCGGTATTCAATCGGGAATTGATAAAGAACTGTGATGAATTGAGTCCGTGGAGTTCGAGGTGCGATGCATCATCGAATGAGGGATTAGGGAAAAGAGCCACTGGATTGTCCGGAATCGTGCCGGAGAATTTGATTCCGGCGTGGTACTGGACGGACCAATTCACGTCCGAACTGATTTTTCACAATCGGATGTTGAACTACAAGTGCAGGACGACAGAGGCGGAATCTGCTAAGGGGTTCTACATTCCATTTTACGCTGGACTGGCGGTGGGAAAACACTTGTGGATGAATTACACGGCGAAAGATCGTGATCGGCACTGCGAGATGATGCTAAGATGGGTCCAGGGGCAGCCATTCTGGAACCGATCAGACGGTTGGGATCACTTCATCATGATGGGGCGGATCACATGGGACTTTCGACGGTCGAAAGACGAGGACTGGGGATCGCGTTGCATCTACATGCCGGGGATGCGAAACATCACGCGTCTCTTGATCGAGCGAAACCCTTGGGACTACTTCGACGTCGGTGTACCCTACCCCACCGGATTCCACCCCAGATCCGACTCCGACATCCTCCAGTGGCAAGACTACGTCCGCAACCGCTACCGCTCGACCCTCTTCTGCTTCGTGGGGGGGAAGCGTAGCACAATCAAGAACGATTTCCGCGGGCTACTACTAAGCCACTGCAAGAACGAGTCTGGCTCCTGCCGGTTCGTGAACTGCTCCAGCACACGGTGCTCCAACGGCTCCTCCGCCATCCTCAAAGCGTTTCTGGACTCGGATTTCTGTTTACAACCCAGAGGGGACAGTTTCACCCGACGGTCCATCTTTGACTGCATGATAGCCGGTTCAATCCCGGTGTTCTTCTGGCACCGGACGGCGTATTTACAGTACGAGTGGTTTTTACCCGGGGATCCCCGGAGTTACTCCGTCTTCATCCATCGCGACGAGGTCAAAAACGGAACTTCGATAAAAACCGTACTGGAGCAGTACAGTAAAAGAGAGGTACGGAAAATGCGAGAGAAAGTAATCGATTATATACCGAAATTAGTGTATGCAAAACCCCACCAAGGTTTGGAGACCATAAAGGACGCATTTGATGTCGCCATTGATGCTGTAATGAGGAGACTCAAGGAGCAAGAACAGCCGGGGTACAAGTGGAAATGAGAAAATTTACGAGGGTAAAAGTGGGAGTATGGTGATTATTTTATTTTTGGAAAGTACCAAGAAAATAGAGAATTTGGGTATTATACATTCTTTAAAAAAATTTTACAAGATAATTTTGGTATTATGAGGACATTGGATTTTTTTTGGGCAAAAAAATAAGAAGAAAGCTGGTTGTGCGGTCCATAAGCTAAGGTATTTGAATGAGAGTATAATACTAAATAATACAAAGATGGAGATATATTTATGTGATATGATTTTGTTGATAAATAAAGAGTTTTATGTTGCTAGACAGTTAAATAAGAATTATTAGATAAAAAATAACTCTATAATAACTTATATTGTGAAATTTGATATAATTTAAATTATATATATTTATTGTAAATATAATAAAAATATATATATCAATTTTATTTACACCATAAATTATTGTTTTTTAAATAATACCACATGATAATGGATGATGAGTTCACATCAAATTGACTATTAAGATTTAGATATGTAATGACTGATTTTGGAGAAGTGCAACTGAGGGGTTGGGGTAACCATTGAGGGGTTGGGGTAACGGTAGAATAATACAAGTGGTAAGATCTAACGCAGACTTTACCTAGTCTTACTAATGTGTTCATTTTCTTCAGAAAGTTATCTATGTTTTATAATAGCTAACAGGTGAAATGAGAGGATAGTTTATAGAAAGCGTGTAAAAGAAGCTTTTAGATTTTTCAAGACAAAATGACCAGCCCAACACATAATTCAACGAATTTTCAATTTTCTAGTTTCTTAGTGATTGTTCATTTTAACTTATAGATTTCATATCTCAGTAAATTTAGTTTATTTAGGAGCTATTGATTTTAAATTTACGGTATTAGTAAAGTTTTTGAAATTATTCATGGTAGATTAGCAACTAATTATACAGGAAGACATCCCTCTTTCTTGCAAATCGTCTAAAAATGCAAAATTAAATTTGAAACCAACATTCTTCTAGCTATTATGATGGAGGTAACCATGTAGAAGGAGAGTGTTATTGGAAAAATCCTTTTTTCTTGTTTTTCAGAAGAGTAAATGGCATATAACATCTAGATTTACCTCGTGCGAAACCGGCACATAGCATCTAGATTTACCTCGTGTAAAACTACTTTGAGAATTTTTTAAGAAACATGGTTATATTTTAAAAAATATTATAAAACCAAATTATTTTAATAAATTCTTAATAAAAATTATTAAAATATCTTAATTTTTAAAATATAAATAACACTAATTTAGTATTTTCTCGTAAGTTTTTTAAGACAACATAATTTTAAATATATATATATTACCATTACAGCTAATAAATACTAATCTCATAAAATAAATAAAGTTTGTAAATATATACTTCTCATAAAAAGTGAACTTTTTTAGTGTTGGAGCCTAATGAGCGGCATAGGTAAGACTGTATCAAGAGTGTAGTTACAATCTCAGCTTGATTTATAAATTTATTAGGCAATTAATGATCCCTTAATATAACTCAAATAACAGTTACGCATGCGTTACTCCTATAACTCTGAATAATGATTCATACAATAGAGTAATGGATGCATCATATATTCAGGACCCCAAATCAAAGTATAATTGGGATTGTTGTATATTTGGTAGTTAGAAATAAAGACAAGAGCATAACATCTTTACCTGTGAAAAAGGAAAAAAAGGACAAAAGGTAAAAAAGCATGTCCATCTTTTTATCTTTAGATCTTTTTTAATCCACTATATGTTCCTTTTCCCCCGGGGAAAACCAAAAGATATTCACCAAACCAACTCCTTATACGTTTCATGCTTTCTACTTTCCAGTTTTTACCATGAGCATGCATAGTGCGGGATCCTTTTAGTTGGTGCCTTGGTGGCAGCAATAATATATAAATAGTTTAGTATGAAGATCATAAAGTTATATTAGGGTAAGTGTTACACTAATTTTCAATCTTTGTTTTTTAAATTGTAGCAATTAATGTAATACTTGAATTTTTACAATAATCCCTTAAATTTTAAAATGCATGATTGAAAATCAATGTAAGAGTTTTTAAAATTTACAACAACTTGATTCGTACTCATATATAAATGAAAAGTGATATAGAGATAATTTTTTTATATAATTTTTTATACAATTTTTATATGTCATAAAATAAGTGAATATACTTAATATTACAAATTTTAAATTAATAAAAAGAACTAATTATTTAAATAATATATAAAATTATATTAAAATATGATACAAAAAAGTTATTTCTAAATATTTTTCTTTATAAATCTACAAACATCAAATAGATATCATTTGGGTGTGGTTATTGCAAGGTACAAGATTCTACATGTAATTTTATTTCTTACACCACTAATAAATAAAAATGTTTGTGAATGGAGGAAAATAATGCTTAAAATAAAGAAGACATGTGATATTAATGTTGAAGGCAAGCCTAATAACATGACTCGCAGCTTGTGCTACCATGTACACATGTAAGGTTGTAAACATTATTAACCTTCGCAATTCACATGGCTATTCAAAAGGGTTTCATTAAAAATTTTAATTAATGTAACTTGTTTTAGAGGTGCAAGATTGAATACTACCCAATAATGGGATGCTTTGTTTTTACAATTTGACAAGGACATGCAACCCAACTAAGGAATCCACTTGTTTCCCTTTTTTTTCTTTTTTTCTTTCTTTTTTTTAATGGAGACTTTGGAATTTGCTTATTTCTTGATGACAAAAGTTGATTAGACCTATTTTAGGCTCAACTTTATGTCAAAAAACTCTTAAGCCCATTATTAGGGAAAAGTTTTAGCCCAATATCCTATCCTATCCCAAATTCCAATTGCAAAAACTCTAGCGGTCTAACCCAATTATTAATTGGGTTTTATATTGCCGATACAAAAAAAAAATGGGTTTTATACTTTTATATTGATGTGGTTATGATTCGAGTGCAGCTACAATTTACCATGACACCTTCATCCCAATCTAGAGATATTTGGCATGGATTTAACTTGTAACACAACTCTTCTTCTGCACGTAAGCTGAGTAGGCGGAGATGGCCAGTGCATGTAATTCTTGGCTTTTGTTTTCAGTGCAATATTCATTCATAATCTCGTAATAACCATTTGAGCTTTTATTCGTTTTGTCACTTTCTAGTTTAGGCCTAGGGAGAATATTTTCCTTGCAACATATATTACAGAAGAAATATGCACAAGCGTTGGCAATTTTTTTCTTAGACAGACTTGCCCATTTAAGCATTAAGCTAGATTACATAGCACTCTTATACCAAGAATCTAATTTGGATGGTCTAATTGGGCCGAGCCCGTACGAACCATATCTAAATCCAAAAATTTTACAAAATATTTCAAGTAATCACTCCTTGAAAAATAAATAAGGTGATAGGCTTTTAATGGAAATGTTATTGACACAATTATTTTATTTTATTTTTTTATATAATTTGATATGTCATTAAAATAATTAATTTTTTTAATTTATGTGAAACCCATAATATTAAATGCATTCACTTATTTAATATGCATTCACTTATTTAATAATACGTGAAATTTGTATAAAAACAATAGGTAAAAAGATTGTCCTTATAGTACCACCATTTGTTAAAAAATTGAGAACAACTGCAACTCTGGTTTCTGTCTAAATTCTTACGTTTCTTTTGTAGGTGTTTGCTGCTCATTTCCATCCGAATCTTATTTTGAAATCTTGTTTGCCACTTTCTGGTAATAATAGGTACCATGTAAGAAATATACAATTTATATAAGCACTAACCTATATTTTTATCAGTCAAATGGTTGCAAAAGTGATGAGTAAATCATATTGATACAGTTCTTTAAAATATACTGTACTATTTTAAGAGAAAGTAAATGTTTTGAACTAAAATGACAAAAAGATTAACAATTAATAGAGTAATTATGTACATTTACCCAATTTTGAAATAATATAAATATCTCTTTGGTGGAAAAATCATAGCAATATCTTGGATAAAAAT